GCTGGGTGACGGGACGTAAAACGTAATAAAACCATCTCCATTTTTTTAATGTATCCCCTCAGACTTTCTATTTAGATTTAGTAAAATCTAATTTTAAGTCTATTTCATTAAAGAGTTGAAAGAAAAATATTTTATTATGGTTAAGAAATATAAATCAATGATTTATTGATTTGAGTAAAAATAATTCAATTTTTTTAAATAAAGTATTAAATTTGAATCTTATAAATGAAAGAATTTTTGTTTATAAAATTTAATATGAATTGATTTTAAATTAATGAGAATTTAATATAATTTTTAGATGCTAAGAGATTTAATATAAAAAAATTAAAAAATATATGTTGAGAGTTATATATATTGTCTTTATATAAGTTTTAAGGTAAATTGCATAAAAAAAATCATAACATTAAAAATACATAAATACAATCTACTTATTAATAGTTAAATTAAATATATTATTTAATAAATTAATCACTAAAATGATTGAAACTCCTAATTTATAGAAGATATTCAAGAGAAAATACACATTTGTTTCTTTTTGGTTTTGTACTTATTTTTGAGTTGGAATTCAAGTGGAACTCCCGTTGGCAACAACACATGGCATTTACCCAGCATGAACCCAGCGATGCGATGGTGTTGCACATTTGGAAAACGTGTGGTCCAAACCACCGGTTTTAAATTTCATATACATCTATTTATTCTCCCACCTAATTTTTTGGGGAGAATAACTCAATAAGATCGTTGAATTTTCTGAGATTTGACGCGTGCCATCAGAAAAGTTGGTTCGGGAATATCTTCAGTTGGTCCAACTGAAACTTCCTCTCAACCATTGCAGATTCCAACTTTTTTATGTTTCCTCTCTTATCCCCCGCAACTTAGCCCTTCCGGCTCTAGTTTTTAATTCCATCCGCTTCAGTGTCTTCTCTTCTTTGAGCAAAATAGAAACTAGGTAGCCATTACATTAAGTCAGGTGTGGTTATTGCTATCATAAAGATTGTTAAGCCTATTAAAATTTTGAATTTGTTTCTTAGATAGTATCTAAAAATAATAATGTATTAATTAATTTTAGTTTATTAATTAATAAAAATCAATTATTTTATTGGTTATTAATTAATAGTTATAGTCATTCATAATTTTTATCAATCAAATTAAACAAAATTAATATTTTTAAAAACAACATTTTACAGTTTCAATGGTTATAAACATTCCCCCATTAAACATGTGTTTAATATAGTAATTTGAAACTAAGAGATACTCATTTTATTTAAGGGCTTTTCAAACTTGTGCTCTAACTGAATATGTTAAAAATACATTTTTAACATTAATTGCCAATTTTCCTATCAACAATAATAGAAAGGATGGAGAGGGCACGAGCGAGAGGTGTACGAGCGAGAGGTGCGGCGGCCAGAGACGACAGCGATTCCAGACGGTGGCAGACTTATAGGCGGAGGGAGGTAAAGGATGGGTCTGATAATCTGGGTCCAGGGAGGGCATTTTTCTTCTACAATTTTCCAGAGACATGTTGTGCAAAGGATTTATGGTATCATTTCCAGAGGTATGGACGCGTGGTGGATGTCTATGTGCCTGGGAGAAGAGATAAGTGGGGGAAACGGTATGGGTTTGTACGTATGACCGGAGTGCAGTCTGAACAGGAAATGGTGAGGAAGCTTAATGATATCTGGATTGGGTCATATAAGGTTCGGGTTAAAGTTGCAGAGGCTAGGAGGAGGCAGACCTCAAGGGTTCGAAGGGCACCGAGGGTTTTAGAGGAAAGGAAACTGGAGCATAGAATGGATAGACTAGTTCAACCGGGGCATTCATATGTGCAGGCAGTGGTGGGGAGTCGTCCACAGATCAGGGAGACTCCTAGTGGCGCAGGGGCATTGCGGGAGAAGGTAGGGCAAAGTGTGGTGAATGAGGCAGTTGAATCCCCTGTACAGAATGCTGTAAGGCTCGGGTTGGTGGAGAACATTTCTGGGCAGTCTAAGGAAAAGGATATTGTGTTTACACCAACGAAGGAGGAGACCAAATGGCTAGAAGGAAGTATGGTCGCTGAGGTGAAATCAGTATCATTGATTTCTAACATTCAAGCTCGATTAGACGTGGATGGAGGAGTGATTACGTTATTACCATTGGGAGGAAAAAGGGTGTTATTAACAGAGCAAGTGTCAGGGTGCTTGGCTGATTATACACAGCACAATAATGACTTGATTGATTTATGGTTCGATTCGGTGCAACCATGGACATTGGCGAGTCCAGCAGGTTGTCGACTGGTGTGGCTACGTATTTCTGGAATCCCGCTTACTGCATGGTGCGATAGATGCTTCCAAATGTTAGGCGAGTTAGTGGGAGAAGTGGTCCGGATTCATGAAGATACTTCAAATAAAATTATCTTGGGTGATGGAAGGGTGTTAGTCCTTTGCTCTGAAAAGGGTAAGATCGTCCGTACTGTATATATGGAAGTGGAGAACCAGGTGTATGAGGTCGGGTTGATAGAGGAAGAATGGCGCTCCGACCCCGATTGGTGGCTGACGGACGGCGATAGGCAGTGCGAATCGGAAACTGATTCGGAATGTTCAATACTACCTAACGGTAGTGAGGATGCTGACTTGATTCTCGCCGCAAAAAGTGGAGGGAATGAGGATATTCTTGATGAGGAAATGCTGGCGAAGGAAGCTGATTCAAATTCAAACAGGATCTGTGTAACGGATGGCAGTGACTGTAAGTTATCTGAAACGGATGATATTGCAGATGGGTATAGTGGGCCTATTGACTGTAACGGGCTGGTGAATAAGCGGCCTGGGCTTATTGAGGCCTATGGGCCCGATGCAAATTTGTCTCCAAAGAGGAATCGAGCCGATATTGACATAAGGCCTGCAGCAGAGCATGACCAAGTTTTGACCCCTATTCTGAATCTAGAAAACAGGGGAGCGACGGGAAAAAGGAGGAAGAATCTTATGGAGTGTTATCCGCAAAATGAGGCAGAAATCGGCGACAAGAGCACTCAATGGGTCACGGCGAGGACCAAGCAGAGACAACGCAGATGGAAGCAGGCTCAACAGGAGGCACCGATGAAGGTAGGGGAAAGTATTTCACTCTCGGATGGGTGTATAGCTAATAGAAATAGGGTGATTCAGAGGGAAATGAATTTGCTAGAGGTTAGAAGGATGATTAGTGTGGGGAAACGGCTGGGTGTTCAGATCTTAGGGAATGAAGAAGAGGTTCAGTCCCGGTTATTGCAGTTAGAGGAACCGGTGGTTGAGCAGGCGCAGGGTAGGGACGAAGCTTGATGTTTGCAAGGGGTGTGCGGGTGCATGCGTGTTTTTCTTTACATATATGAAGTGCTTGTCTTTTAATGTTAGGGGATTGGGGGGTTCGGTGAAAAGGAAGGAGGTAGGAAGAGTAGTAAGAAAAGAGAGGCCAGACTTTTTGTTCTTGCAAGAGACTAAATTGCAGGAAGTGGATGGGAGTGTGTGTAGGGGGTTGTGGTATTCTGATGATTGTGACTGGGTTATGAAGGAATCAATCGGTGCTTCAGGGGGTTTGATGTGTGTTTGGAATAAGGCTAGTTTTGTCAAGCTAGGGGAGTTTGCTGGAGATGGTTTTCTGGGAATTGATGGGGTTTGGGGTCCTGAGAAGGTGTTATGCCATTTTGTCAATGTGTATGCCCCACAGGATAGGCATAAAAAAGTGAGGCTATGGGATGAGTTGGGTAATATGGTTATGGAAAAGGGAGGATGCTGGATGATAGCAGGGGATTTTAATGCTGTTAGATGCCCTGAAGAAAGGCGAGGAAGAACTGGAGAATGCCCAGAAATGGAGGAGTTTAATGTCTTTATTGAGTCAGTAGGATTGGTTGATATCAGATTGGCGAATAGACGTTTTACATGGTACCGACCGGATGGTTCTTCCATGAGTCGGCTGGATAGATTTCTGATGACAGAGGAGATGTATAGTTTGGGGTGCGAGTGGGTGCAGCAGGGGTTGAAACGGACTGTTTCCGATCACTGTGCTGTTATCTTGAAATCAAGTAATGCAGATTGGGGTCCAAAGCCATTTAGAGTTTTAGATGCTTGGCAGCAGCATCCAGATTTTAAAAAGGCAGTGGAAGGCAAGTGGCGAGGGATGGAGGTTGAAGGTTATGCAGGCTATCGCTGTAAACAGAAGTTAAAATTGTTGAAGGAATTTTTGAAGGGATGGAATAGGGATGTGTTCGGGGATGTGGAGGCCCAACTTGAAAAGGCATCAGCAAAGGTAGAAGAGATTGACAGGAGAAATGAAGATTTTGAGCTAGAGGAGTTTGAGGTGAGCCAACGACAAGAAGGAGTTCAAGAAATATGGGATGTTTTGCGCAAGAAGGAAGCTATATGGAGGCAAAAATCGAGGTGTAATTGGGCGCGGCTGGGAGACGCGAACACCAGATTCTTTCACAAGGTTGCTAATGGCAGGAAGGCTCAGAACAATATACTGGGGCTCTCGTGTGATGGTAGATGGGTGGAGGAGCCTAAAATGGTTAAGAGGGAAGTAGCCAAATATTTCTCTACTTTGTTTCAAGGTGAAGTATGGAACAGACCTCAGCCAGCTGGTGTAAGTTTTCGGCAGATATCTGCGGAGAAAAAAGAGTGGTTGGAAAGGCCATTCTCAACGGAAGAGATTGAAGATGGGTTAAGAGGCTGTGAAGGGACTAAAGCACCTGGTCCGGATGGTTTTAATTTCAACTTCCTCAAGTTTGCCTGGAGCGTTGTAAAGGAGGACTTCGTGAGTTGCTTCAATGAATTCCATCAGAATGGCAGGTTAGTAAGAGGCTTAAACTCTTCCTTCTTGACTTTGATCCCTAAGAAGCAAAACCCTACGGAATTGAAGGACTATCGTCCTATTAGTCTAATTGGGTGTGTTTATAAGTTATTGGCTAAGGTGTTAGCTAATAGACTTAAGGTTGTGATGTCGGAAATTATTAGCGAGACTCAATCTGCTTTTTTGGGGGGCCGTCAACTGGCGGATAGTGTGTTAGCTCTAAATGAAGTTGTTGATGAAATTAAAAAGAGTAAACAAAAGGCTTTTGTTTTCAAAGCTGATTTTGCGAAAGCTTATGATTGTGTTGATTGGGCATTTTTGGATTGGATGATGGAAAGGTTTGGGTTTGGGCCTAGGTGGAGAGGATGGATGATGGAGTGTTTATCAACCGCAAGGGTGTCAGTCTTAGTTAATGGCAGTCCGACTGAGGAGTTTGAGATTGGAAAAGGATTACGGCAGGGTGATCCTTTGTCTCCTTTTCTGTTTTTGATGGTTGGTGAGGGTTTACATGGGTTACTTCGAAAATCTGAATCGGAGGGGTTGTTTAGGGGTGTTGAAGTTGGGAAAAGGGGTTTGGTTGTATCTTTGCTACAGTTTGCCGATGATACAGTGATTCTGGGTAAAGCTAATGGGGAGAATGTTTTTATGGTTAAAACAGTGTTACGATGGTTTGAGTTGATGTCGGGGTTGCGGATTAATTTTGGTAAAAGTAGTGTCTATGGCTATAATGTATCGACAAGGTGGTTAAATGGGATGGCTTGTTCTTTACGGTGTGGTGTTGGGAAAACACCTTTCATGTATTTGGGACTCCCTGTTGGTGGTAAATCTGGGAGCAAAAAACTGTGGGAACCAGTGATTAATAAGTTTCGTGCCAAACTTGCCGTCTGGAAGTCTGCTTCGTTGTCTTTTGGCGGCCGCATCACTTTGCTTAATTCGGTACTCTCTGCTTTGCCCATTTTTTACATGTCTCTATTTTTACTACCTAGTTCTGTGGTTTCTGAATTGGTATCTATCCAAAGGGGGTTTCTGTGGGGTGGGGCGGGTTTGAATAGGAAAATTCCATGGGTTAAGTGGGATATTGTTTGTGGTAATAAGTCGCAGGGAGGGTTAGGGGTGTCGGACTTGCGAAGGAAAAATTGGGCACTCTTGGGGAAATGGTGGTTCCGGTTTGGTGATGGTGTGGGGAGTTTGTGGAAGCGGGTAGTAAGGGACAAATATTATGAGGGTCGTTGTGAGGTGGATATAACAGCAATTGATTATTTAAGGGTGTCGAAATTGTGGAAAGATATTATCAGCATTGGGGGGAAATCAGTTAGGTTGAGGAGTATGTTGGGGAATGGGTTTCGATGGGAGGTGGGGTGTGGGAGTAGGGTGGGTTTTTGGAGGGAGAAATGGGTGGGAGATAAATCCTTAAGGGATTTATGTCCAAGATTGTATGCCTTGGCCGTGAATAAGGAAGGCTTGGTTAGTGATATGGGGCACTGGGAAGGGGATAGGTGGCAGTGGAATATGGTGTGGAGAAGGGGGCGAATGGGGCGTGAAAAGGATGAGGAGGAGGTTTTGTGGGGGGTTGTGGATTGTGTACAATTAAAGAATGGCAGGGAGGATGTTTGGAATTGGGTACATGACCCAAGAGGTAAATATTCGGTGAGGACAGCTTATGAATTTTTATCTCCTGAGGAGTGTCATCTAGATTCCCAATTGTGCAGGTTTATTTGGTGTAGGCTTGTGCCTTTGAAAGTTAGCTTTTTTGGGTGGAGGTTATGTCTTGATCGGCTGCCAACAAAATGGAATTTACAAAAACGGGGTGTGTTGGTGCAGCAAGAGGGTTCTTTTTGTGGTTTGTGTCATGGGGTGGTGGAGGAGGTTGATCATCTATTTTGTACGTGCAGGGAAGCTTGGTTAGTTTGGGTTAAGGTGCTGAATTGGTGGGGCATTGAAACTGTCATGTTGAATACTGTTAGGGGAGTGGCAGAATTTTTCTTCTTTGATTTGGGTAGAATTATAGGGAAGGAGTTGGGTGCATGTGTTTTTCTTGTTGTTGCATGGTATCTTTGGTATTGGAGGAATGCTTGTGTATTTAAGAATTGTGGGAGTATGCAGGAGTGTTTGTTGGATAAGGTACAAATGAAGTCTTTTTTTTGGATTAAAAATAAGGTGGATGGATGTGCTTTTTCTTTGTATGAGTGGCAGTTGAACCCAATTGAGTGTGCCTTAGCTGTTAAACGGTATAAGAGGATGTTGAAGAGTTTCCAAAAGCTGCATCATCGTTTACTTTGAGTTATGTCTGTTGGCATTAATGTGTTACTGTCCCGGTCATCTCTTTTATTTTGGGGTGATGGGTTTGGTTTGTTAATGCTAAGAATAGGATTTTCCTTTGTATATGGGTTGGAGTACCCCTTGTACTCCCTCAATTAATATATTTATCTTTGCTGATAAAAAAAAAAAAACATTTTTAACATTAATTGTCATTGAAAAAATAAAACTTAACATTTATTTAATCAATCGTTTAATTAAAACAATACATATATTATTGATAATAAAATTAATGTTAGCTTTTGTTGTTTTTTATACTAGTTAATATAAAAAATATATATTAGTTACACCATTAACTGTACCCTGAAGGTAGAAGCCATATAAATTCTTTATTTAATTTGATAATTGATAATTATTATTACTAATAATTCAAACACTTTTAATTATTCAATTGACTAGAGGAA